ATGTTTTGTATCATCTATGTGCTATGCTGTTTGCTGATATTATGTAATAACTCGGCATGTGTATTCTTCATGATACCCTAGACATAGACAACATGGTGTTAGGGTTTGGTTTTGATTATTGATTAACATTAGATTACTCAGCTCAATCAATTAATTAAACATAGTTAAACCAGCACAGAGAAATTGATACTTCACCAGTTCTGGGGAACAGGTTTGCAGCAATCACAGCTTATATCTTTTGTCTGTGTCTGTTTCAAAGTATGTCATGTGACTGGGACCAGGGAAATAAAAGGGCATTCTCTTGCCAATACTCTTTTTATAGTTCTATTTTACTGTATTTTCAATCTTGTCAACTCTTGCAATTTTTAGTTTGTGATAGTTGATGGTTTAAAGCACCAGCTCCTGGAGGACACTGGCTATTTGGGATTCACAGGTGTGATTTTTTTTTAAGTAAGTTTCTACCCCTTATGATTGTGGAGAAAAGCCTGAAAATGTGAACTGAGTAAGCCTTAAAGGCACAGAAGCCAGAAGACAACCCATGTATTTAAAAGAACCCAACCCATGTATTTAAAAAAAAAAAAAAAAGTCAATGGGCATGAACGCGTTGTTTACAGAACTTCACTCTTTAGTGCTACATTATTTGTTTTAAATTGTTTCCTATTCTTCTCAGCATCAGATGCAGGAGAAGCAGAATAGAATCTGCAAGCATCAGGACAAGCGCTATGAAACATTATAATTAAAAGAAGTGTTCAAAGCTGAACTTGGAAAAATTAATGTTTTTTAAGACACCCGAAGTTCAGATTCTATTTTATATCACATTGAGCTTTCCCCCATTAATTCCCAGCCCAAACAAAAGTGAGATGAGAATTTGAAGTCTGAGACGTATGGTACAATCGACGCAAAGTGTTATTGAAGGGTATTATAAACTATGCAGTTTTATTTAAGAAGCTGACAAATAGGGTATATGAAATCATCAGTAGACTGTGCCTTAATGAGGAATCTGATAATGCTTTTTATACTCTTTCATACTTTGGTTAAAAATATTAGCACCATAAAATTTCTAGATGGAGGGCAGTAGAGGTGATAAATGCAAGGTGATCAAAACACAGTAAGAGGCACATTTTCCTTTTTTATGTGGAGGCCTCTTTCAAACCTGTCATCTGATGAATGTCAAATTAAAATTTAATGGACTTGTTGGTTTCCAGACAGCCATCTTTCTACAGCTTTATTATTAACAATAATTTAATCTTTGCCAGCGCTTTTTTCATTTCCGAGCTCTTGATGTGCGGATTATTTTTTTAAAAGTAACTGCATAAGAAAAATATTCAGATCATAAAGTTAAACCTTTATTAGAAGTGTTCCATATTAAAAATGATGCAACCCCAGGATCAATATAGTTTACAAAGCAGCCCTGTACTTCAGGTGTTTGAATTAAAGTGTAACAGTTGTAACTAGCATGTTGCTTATAGTCATTTTCTTTCTGTCGGTATTTTATAATAATCCATATTTAATAGTGTGTGAACCTGAACTTTGCCTCCCAGAAATATGTGAGGAAAGAGAATATAATTGTATGGCTAAGATTAAAAAAAAAAAGTTATGTGAAATATATTATTTGTGTCAGCCAACATCTGTAGGTACAGAAATTCTTTATTTAGTAACAGGTGTGTCAGTAAATGAGAGATCCAGGAAACAAATGGACTTAAAATACTTCTCAAGAGAAAATATGTAGCATACATTACAATAAAATGATAAAATTACAATAAAAATTAATATACTGTTGTGGGGCCTGATGCTGCACCATCATAGTCACTAGTTGGGCTAATTACCTCAATGTGAGTGGGATCTGGGCCATAAACAGTGAAGGATGTTTTTGCTGGATACCAAGTATTCTAAGTTCTTGCTTGTGCCCTTGAGCATAGTGCTGTGCTGGGAGCAGTAAAGAGCCACCCCACCCCAGGGGGAGAACCAGGAGGCAGAATGCTTCCAGGAGTGCTCAGATGCAAGGTGGGTGCATGCCTACTACCACATCCTTTTCTGGGGTGCAGCTTATTAGTCTTTGTAAACTTAGTAAACTTCATTGGGTTCTGTGCATGAGAGCGGAGTACTTGCCAATCCCAGCCCCTTTGGGAGGATTAGTTGCCTAGAAGAATAGTAACAGAGCAGTCTTTATCTTCCCTTGAGAGCAGGGATTACAATGATGGTTTGACCTCTACATGGCCTGCACAAAGTTGAGGTTTCTTTATGCCTTCTCTCGCATGTAGGTATAATCTGGCTTTAGCTAGACACTTCTATCACTGTTTTTATATTTGCTATCTCACATTGTTATAAAGTTATATTTTGTTAAACAAATATATCAAATTCACTGCTTACGGTGAAGGGCACCCAGTAGGCTGAAATCTAATGCCCTCATTGCAATTTATGTAGTTTGAAACCTGTATTGTGTCGCTACTAATTTCTTTTTAAAGGTAAACAGATTTGTTTCCATTAAAATGTTTTTTTTACATGAGCTAAATGAATAAAGCACAATGGTGTGTACTCTGCTCGCAGAATATCCTTGTGCCGATCGCTCATGAATTCCTCACATATCACTTGTTTAAATGTATTTGGTGAATGTGTTTGCCAATTTCCTGAGCCAATAGCATCTCTGGCACTGTGTCTATTTGTTACTGAAAGGGTTCCTAAGTCCTGTCCAACTGGAATACCCACTTGTTTGTGGTGTTTAGAATACTTATACTCTCCCATTTGAAAACACTGAATACTGAGAACCAACAATATGGACTTATTCATTTTATTCTGCCCATAATTCCATCCCCAGTTAGGAAGGAGACCTCTTTTTGATATGAGAGGCAATACAGATAAAAGTTAGTTTTGTCTCTCATTTTCTATATGTGTCAATGTATGATGCAGACCATTGCAAACTGACCTGATGTCACTAACATACCGCAACTTCCATTTGATTTAGATTTGAAAACTGGTAGTTCAAGGTTACCATTGTTTCTTAATAATAAATAAGTGACTATTATTATTAATTCACTATATATAACCATAGTATATGAGTACTGTTTACATAATTCAGTTAAAACAATATTTTCTTATACGTTCCCAGCATGGAGACTTCTCCTAGAAGTAGGTTTCACCAACAAGTTTATACTTGTTCTACTTCCCCAAAGGCAAACTAGTCAGCAGCAATCACTGTCATGGGAAAAGAGAGAGGTCCAAAATTTGGGCCTTGCTGTTTAACCTTGTGAGAACCAGTCACGGAAAGAGCCCTACCCCCTCTGGCTCCTTGGTGTTCTGCTCAGGGCTCCCCGAATCTGGAGTAAATGTGTGACTCCAGTGTGGCCATTGATCTAATGCTATACTAGATCAGACCAGGGTCCATCACGTCCAGTATCCTGTCTGCAACAGTGGCCAAAACCAAATGCTAACCAACTCTTGCAGCGGTGCACTGAGCAGAGGTTGTCACTGAGCTGTGTAGAGTGGTGCCCAGGTCCCTGTCTTGGGTTTATACAGTTACTTTAGAACCCTGTAAGGTGTAAAGATAGTTCAATTTTTTCACTCAAGGATGCAATAGGATCCTATTCTATTTTATATATCTCCCTAAATGGTAGATAACCTCATTCTACTCTTAAACTATAGTACTCAGGGTGGTCTCTTTGGGGTAGGGATTTTCTCTTTTCTATGTATATGTACCCATAGGCGCCGACTCCGCGGGTGCTTTGGGGCTGGAGCACTCACAGGGAAAAATTGGTGGGTGCTTAGCACCCACCGGCAGCTCCCCACCCTGCCCTCCCCCGCCCCAGCTCACCTCCGCCTCCGCTCTGCCTCCACCTCCTCCCTCGAGCGCACCACGTGCCCGCTTTTTCCCCCTGGCTCCCAGCGCTTGTGCCGCGAAACAGCTGATTCGCATGGCGAGCGCTGGGAGGGAGGGGGGAGGAGGGGGAACGCGGCGCGCTTGGGGAAGGGGCAGGGATTTGGGGAAGGGGTCCAATAGGGGCAGGGAGGGGGCGGAGTTGGGGCGGGGATTTGGGGGAAGGGGTTGGAATGGGGGTTGGGCAGGGGCGGGGAAAGGATGGGGCAGGGCCAAGGGCGGGGGGGCCTGAGCACCCACCAGCGCCGGGGAAAGTTGGCGCCTATGAATGTACCGTGCCTAGCACAGTGAGGCTTCAGTTTTGTTTGGGCCTTTAGGCACAAGTCATAGTAATACAATGATTGTACTAGGTGTTGGGCATACATAAGAGGTAGTTTCTGCCCCAAAGAGCTTACAATCTAAATAGACTAGGCAGAAAAAGGAATTAGTAGTATTAGTCTCCCTTACGGATAGGGAACAATGGTGTTTGCAGATACCTGTCACCCCAAGCAGTTTTACAGAACAGAATTTTGCAGATGTTTGGCAAAATGTGTATTCTGTAAAGGAAAATTAAAGATTTGCCAAAGGCTGCATTAAGAATAATTGGAATATTTGGCAAACCAAAGTATTTTCTGGTTCATAAATTGTAGGGGTGGTAGTGGTTCTACATAGTGTAGTTGTTGTGATAATCTGTATCCACTTCAGTGCTTTACTGTGTCCAAACCACTAAATAAAGATTCACGTGGATGTGGAGGAAGTTCAGGAAACCACTTCCCCGTTATCCATGTGTATTCAATGTACCCGTCTGGCTGGCTGAGACAAAATCACAACATGATATTCCATGAAAAATGAGTTTTCTATTGTAGCTTTGTATTTTTCTCTTCCTGCGGAATAAAATTCACATATTCAAATAAGAGTCAGGTTTTTGAGACTGGGTTTCTTTGCACAAGTATTGATATTATCTGCAATATTTTTTGTTCCAGCAATACTGCCTGATTCCATGAAGTCAGAGAATATACAGCACCATAATCCAGTTACGTGAATTTGTTTGTGTTTGCCTCAAAAACGTTTTAACAGTCTGAGAACTAGTATATAAAGGTGATACCTTGTGATCAGCATTTGTGTGTGTGTTTTTTTCTCCCCCTGACAGCATTGCGGAGTCGATCAGGACGGTCCATCATCAATGGAAACTGGGCAATTGATCGACCCGGGAGATATGAAGGAGGAGGGACTACATTCACATATAAACGCCCAAATGAAATCTCAAGCACTGCAGGGGAGTCCTTTTTAGCAGACGGTCCGACAGACGAGATCCTGGATGTCTATGTAAGTTTGTCAAATTGAGATTAACTTTCCTAGTGGAAAACAAGAGTTCTGGTCTTTGTTCACACATGACACTAAAAACACAAGTAATAACAATAGATAAATGCCAGCATTCCATTTAATCCTTAGAGGTAACAGTGTTCTGGATATAACAATATCTTTGCTGTTACCTCTGTATTGCCCCAGATCATAGGAAATCTAAACAGTAACAGATATCTCTTACCACCTGGGTTTACTGACCCAGTAAAACTAATTTTACTTGTTGAGTAAAATCAGAGGCAAAGCATATAGTATTCTTTATTTCATGAGAGCTGTATTTCCTCCAGACACTTTTCTACTGAAGCTAATTTGGCTTGGTTAGTTTTATAGTTACCCGAATCAAATGTCTGAAGCCGGTCCAGACTTGTGCTGGATTCATATTTTTAAATAAATATAAATAAAAGCTACAAAATGAAGCATTCCTGGGCAGAGTTTTAATGGCAAACTTCATTAGGAAATCCTGAACAGCAGACACTCCGCAAAGCAATCGCAGAACCAAATTGCAGTGAAATCCTGGCTCCATTGAAGTCAATGGCAAAAGTATTGATTTCAATGGAGCCAGGATTCAACTCCGTGTATTTCTGGTATTGTTCAACACTGAAATAAAAATGCTGTTGTGGATTATTATAGCATACTATGAAATTAATTGTGCATATAGGCATGCTCATACACACATATATAAATATAAAATAAAATATATTGGCTGAAAGACCACATGTAGTATAGATACACAGTCTGAATTGATGATATTGGTTGTTTTAATTGGCCAGGGTTTGGTTGTCATTAAACTCAACAAGTGATGACACATGATAGAAAAATTAGTGCGGTATATTTTTATAGAAAGTGCACTGGCTCCTACAACTGGAAAAGTTACAAATGGCAAAATTATTAAAAAGTAACAATAATTATTCATTGTGTTGCTTTAACAGGGCCCAATGAGGGAGATGGGAAATGATTTTTCATTTGTTGTTATGTAAAATGTTGATGTAAAGATTAATAGATTCTGATTGCCCAGAATGCATATTACTAAAAAAAAAAGGTTATAATGAGCACTTACATAAAGAATATTGGCTGGTGTGAGCTGAGATGCTGTGATGTTTTTATTGCCAAGAAATTGATGCCTAATGTATGATGACTGTATTACCCAGAGAGAAGGGAAAGGAGCCATGCATGACTTATTCAGGTGTTCCCAAATAAGTATCATCAAAAACTTTAGAGCACCTTAAATTAATCAGAATAAAATGTATTTTGATTTTTAGAGCTCTTATATCTCATAGTTTGTTTGTGTCACTATTATGTATTGATTTAATCTTTGCCTGTTTATCTCCCTTCGTTTTTCCCTTCAAGACATCTTATTTGCCAGTAAGAAAACAGCAAGGTTGCCATGGGTTTGGGCACAGCTTAGTGACTTGATCTGTGGGTTATTGCTGTGGACTGGCCCCCTGGTTTGGCACTCTCTCTTTCATCATGCTCTCTGTAGGATGTCAGGACCGCTGGAGGCTTATCTAGGCTGGCTGATAGATCAGCATTCTCCCTTTCACTGCACTGTGGGTTGGTTGAGAAGCCATCTGTGCTGGTTTGTCCTAAAATGGAGATTGGAGGAGTGTTAGATGAAAGAAAATCATAGGAGCTTTGTTAATAGCATAATCACCCTCGCACGGGTCCTGACTTTCTAGTTACAGAGAGATAGCTAATATTAACATAAACCAGTTTCCAATTCCTCAACTCTCTGAACCATACAGTCCTTGTCTTACCATTTCTGAATCTCCCACTTTTCCTTAGCTCCGAACCCTGAAGGGATATGAAAATGTCCAGCTGGCTATCAGTCTTTTCTCTCACTTCCTGCTGTCTTTCTTTCATTCTCCAGTTGCACAGGAAAAGGCTCCCAAGTTATGTTATAGCAAAGTTTAAACAGGTAGATAAAGAACAGAAATTCAGATCAGTTTGGTTATGCACATAAAGCAGCTGTGGCACAAATACAAGAAAGCTAAATTGTTACAAAAGCTTACATTGCCACTAACTCAAAGCAGAACTGTTATAACAGCTCCTTGTAAGTTGTTTTGGGAAACACTATGGAAGAATCAGGGGAACCATAGGAGAGCTTTCCTTGGAACTACCCAAACTGTAGGGTCCTGATCTGAAGAGATGTGGAGCAGTCTCCGCTCCCTCCGAAGTCAATAGGACTTGAGAGTGCTCAGCACCTCGCAGGACTGGGCACCAAGAGAGTGCATTTTAAAATTGTAGAGAGAAGTCGGAAGGTCAGCTCTTATAGAAATCATTACAGGTAGTGCATTCTCATATGATTCCCGAAAGTGGGTGCTCTCATTGGGGCAGAGCTTAGAGAAAAAGCTGTTGTGTTTGCCAGAGGAAACACTTTTCAAAGACAAAGGGATGAATTCTAACTCGGAATAACTCTGTAGACTTCAGTGGATTCCAGAATGGCTTTCTGACTGCAAAACAAACCTAGTGCCACAAGTTTGTTGCTGGTGGGTCACAGGGGTGTTGAAGGGATTTTCTCTTGGTTGTAGCCCTTGCTTTGGCAGAACCAAGACACTTTTCATGTTCAAGAGGAAGTGTCTGGCTGATAAGGAAACCCAGGTATAAGGCACTAACAGCAATCTGTAGTGATGATTTTTTTTTAAGACAGACTTTTTTTAATTAAACTGGCTGAGGCTTCTACCAGAGCAATCCAACACCTCTGCAGAGGACCAAGTTCTTTTAAGGCAGCAGTGTGATCAGCCGCATTATTAAAGTAGCCAAGGCCAGGCTAATAGAATCAACAGTACATAGTGTCTATAACTGATAATGCAAGCATCCCTATTCCCACTCCACCAGCATAATGTAGCGCTGCTAAGGGGTTCAAATGGTTTTCCAAGAGGCGCAAATACCTTGCAAGGGCTTTATTATGCAGCTCCTAGGTTGGTAGGCACTTATTCACACACCCTCCCATTGATTTCAATGGGATACTCATGTGAGTGCTTACTAATGTGCATAAGGATTTTACAATTGGGCTCTAAAACCTCTACACTTTGTTGTTGTCTTTCTTAAAGCAGGTACGCTCAAGGTTCCCAGTGCTAGATAAAAATATTAAAACAAACCAAAAAAAAAAAAACCACAACCAAACCAACCCTTTTGTCCAACAGTAGAAAAAATGAGGGACCTTTTCTGCATGTTTGGCTGTCTGTGGAATGTTCAGTCCAATTGCCTGAAAATGAATTTGGCGGTGTTTGGGAACACAATTCTATATCAGTGATACAGTCACCACAATGTGTATGTGGACCTCTGTTATCTATTTACTTGAGCACTGTTAAACGACTGCTATATAAATGGAATAGACATACAATTGTTAGCTATTTTTGCTTGCTGCTTTATAAATACCGTGGTGAGTGATATGTGCTGAGCTGGAAGGGTATAAAAGGGGACAACTTGGTATCTGAGGTAACACAGATGGGTTAATAAGAGCACAAGAATGGCCATAGTGAGACAGAGCAATGTTCTGTCTAGCCCACTGTCCTGTCTTCCAGCAGTGCTCAGTGTCAGATGCTCCAGAATTAACAGAACAGGGCAATTATCAAATGATAATACATAAGTGCTGTTTATGCGTTCTCAACTCAAGTAGAACTGACAATCATTTGAGGAGAGAGCTAGTGGGGTTTGGAGCATTTGGATTTGGACCCTTCCCCCTCTTTCTTCTCCTTCTTGTTTATCTTTTCTCAGTTATCTGTCAGGTCAGTTATTTCAGTCCCAACCCATTTGTCGTCTGAACCTCTCTCGCCACCTAGTGTTCAGTGAAAGACTTTTAACAACACTGCTGTATTTTCACATTTTGCACCTGTACCAAGAAGACGTATATGATGTAGTTCTTCACAGTGATGTTTTTGAGTAACAGCTGTTCCTTCCTATTACAATTTAGTGCAATTTGCAAATGTAGAAACTCATCTTTTCCTTACTTGTCTTAGCCTCTCAGGAACAAATGGTTTATTTTCATATTTCACTGACGTACCAAACAAACCTTTGTATTTTCTAATAGTAGCAATCATCATGCTGTTGATTGGTTTAAATGCATATTTCTGTTAAGCAGTAGTAACCTAACAAGTGGTTTAAGTGAAAGGGTGATTATTTTGAATCAGGTAACATTTATTTGACTGTTTTTCCTCTTAGATGATACATCAGCAACCTAACCCAGGTATACATTACGAGTATATCATTCCAGAAGCCAATGTCATTAGCCCTCAGTTGCCTCCGCACAGAAGGCCAGGTAAATCATCATTGCCTTAAGCACATTCTGTAGCATTATGGGCCAGTAGTAATATTCTGGCCTCACTGAAGTAAATGGAAGTTTTGTCATTGACTTCATGAGGCCAGGATTTCACCCCTGATGTTCAGCTGGTGCAAAGCAGTGTAACTCCATTGACTTCGATGGAGTTACTCTGATTAGCTTCAGCCTAGGATCTGGTTCTTTATTTCTGTTTTGAAGGTAATTTTGTCTTTAATGTGTCACATGGGATAAGAACATACTGTGACATTTCCTTGATCAGTTACTGTTATGAGCTGAATTGCTCTGCCTGTATTTCAGAAATTTAAAATACTTTTTCTTTCTTTTTGGAGTTTGATATTTTGAAACAACCTTTCTCAGCTTCTCTCTCGCAATCCTGTGGAAATTTCTAAGCCCCCAAAGCTAAAGTTTCTCTAGACAGAATATATTTAGAATTCTATAACACGGAGGTGTGTTAAATGTAACAGTAATTCTGAAAAAAAAAAAGAAAAAATTGGCAGGCAAGTTTGGTACTATTTCTCATGTATTTGATTCTCCTTGTCAGATTTGTATTGGCTCTATAGCCTGTTTCTTAATGAGGAGCAGCTGGAATTTGACATTAAGAGGCACAGAATATGGAGCATGGTGAAAAAACAAATCCTTGGAAAACTTGATTGACGTTAGGTGCAATAATTATGCTAGAAAATGCCTGGTGAATTTCCACTTTTGTGTGTGTGTTTGCTTGCTGAGAATTGGGTGCCTCATTGAAAAGCAGCAAAGTCTTTGTCTGCAGAACAACCCAGCAAGTCTGTATATGGAGATAAAAGCTATTTCCAAGCTTGACAACTTTGTAGACCATTGTTGCAACTACTAATTAGTGAATGCATTAGCTAATATTTGAAAGAGATGATCACTCTTTTAATTTGCTATTGTTGCCTGTCCCCAGGGGAGCCATTCAATGGTCAGTTAGAACTGACAGATGGTACAGATCACGAAGATGAGAATTTGCATAGGGAGACAGACACTCACACTGGACAGTCAACAGGGACCTTTCCTGTTATTCAGCCAGGAAGGTTTCCTTCTCATCAGCCAGACAACCAGGTGCCTGCTGTGCAGCCACCACGACGAAACCGAGAACACAACTGGAAACAGGTTGGAACAACTGAGTGCACCACTTCGTGTGGGAAAGGTAAATGCTTTACAGTGTATGCATAGTATTTATATTACACACAGGAGGATTCCAGGCCAGGAGAAGAAAAACATGGGGGAAAGAGCATGTTAGAAAACCCAGCAAATCCCTCTATGCATTAGACATATGTTTGAGCCACTGCTTTCTGTTGTTTCTCACTAAGTGATAGACAGACAAATCTGTAGCACAAAGTGGGTTCCAAATATATGTCAATAAAAATAATTTTAAAAGAAAAGAAACAGAGCATGGTGCACATAGTTTACAAACAGGCTTGGAAGATTCCAATTTTTTTATCATTTCAACAGATAATATTGATGTTTATTTTTAAGTATTTTTTATCAATTTAATTATTCACAGTTGTGCAACATTATGAGTTTTAAGCATTTTTTGTATTTGTATCCATTTACATTTTCACAGCTGTGGGAATTTTTTGAAGGGGTCAGTCCATAGAGGGGGTCAGTCCATAATTATTTAATGACAGCGATATTCAAAAAGGTAACGCTTCATAACCATTAAAACACAAATTGTCAACACACATCAAAATATACAAAGTAAATATCCTTAAATCAAACTCTAATAAGTTCTCAAGCAGTATTTTTCTTACTTTGCCTATCTGTAAATTTTAATTATTATTGATGGAGATATTTTTCATTGGTTTGTGTGTGTATGGTGAAATCGACATTTACTGACATTTACTGATAAAAATCTAATTCTTCCAAGCCTAATTATAAAGCAGAACATGGTATCCATTGCTGAAATGAGAAATATTGCAGTCTTTTATGGCTGAGGACAATTGGCCTGAAGTTGCTTTTCTCATGTTTCCCTGATACACTACCATTATCCTCAACATTCTCTGGTTTCCTTTCCCCGTTTGTTTAAATCCTCCATTTTCATTAGTACTTTTTGCACCTCTGTAAATATCTTCCTACTATTTGCCTGGATTGCACCTTTACTGGCAGTGATTCCTCCATCTCAGAGCTCCATTTGCTAGTTAGATGCCCTTACAATATATGGTGTGAATTACAAGCTTTTTGAGGGATTCGACCCCTTTAATTAACCTTTTGCATGATGAGGCATAGCTGTTTGGGGCACAAAAGCTGGTTGAACTAGCCAATGGTCGGAACAGAGGTACTGATGCTTTTGACAAACATCAGTGGTACATTCTCCAGAACAGGCGTGCAGGAGCTGAATACTTGAGCAGAAGATGATAGTAGAGTGTGTAGTTTCTAGAGATTTGTGATGTCCAAACACAATTTTTGTTAATGTTTACAGCCTCTCTCACTGTAGCAGCTGAGTACCCTTTTCCTATTTGGAAACCAACAAATTATATTAAAATATAACCTAAATTGAGGTGCTCTAGTAAATACTGTCCTTTTTGTCTGGAATAAAACCCAAGAGTAAATAATAAAAACAATCAAAATAAGATATAATCTAAACCAAGTGAAAGTGCCTTCCATCATGCTCTGACTCCTGCTCTAGCAAACCTCTGACAGGAGTAAATTCTACTGGTGGGGAAGTTCACCTGAGAAGTCCTGCCACCAGGACTTATAAAATACACTTAACTCCAGGTATTGTCAACATATACCTCCTAGCTGAGTTTATTATAAAGTGGAAAGGCTCTCTCAGAAAGCTTGGCCAGCGAGGTATATGTCAGGGCTACTGGTATAGCTAACAAAACACAACTCTACACGTTCCATATAACTTGTTAAGTTGATGGGAAAATTGTGGTTCTGTTGAGCTAGAATAAAGAAAACTTTAACTCTGGACATAGAGGAAAGGTAACATCTTTGTGGCAGTGAGCATAGTCCTGAGGTGAGGGAAGACAATTAAAAGTGGTGATGTAAAGGGAGTTGATAGTGTATTCTGTTACTGGGAATATCGAGCTGTTAGACAGATGTGACTGCTCTGCAAACCTATTTCCTCAGGGGGGAAATTTTAGTTAATTTTCTTTAGCGCTCTCTCCTTGCTCCAAGATATGAAACTGAGCTTGTGCATGAAATCTTAATATCGTGCTGATCCTTATGCACATTATCATCATAATGAATTCAAATTATATCTCTGTTGGGAAAGCTGGTAGTTAAGCACACTACATCGATGTTCTCTTTTTTTTATTGTTATTCCTTGTTAGTCCTGGACAATGAATTGGGAAATCGGCCCTACTTGGGGAAATTATGGCAGAAATGTTACAGTACTAAAATCAGGACTCTTGGGAATCTGACACTTGGGGGGGGGGAGAGGAGTGAACGTAAATCATAATTATTTTGCTTGGACTTAGGAAATGGCTTTTAGATTAGAGTATGTGGGCAGGATCCTCAGCTACTGTAAATAGACATAAACTCTCTTGCAATCAGTGAGGATCATTAGCTGAGAATTGGAACAATCATATTTTCGGAAGGTGGAAGCTGAAGTTTCTTTGCAAAAGAATTGTGCATTTGAGTACTCAGATCAAGAAATTCTGCATGCAAATACAGGTGCACAAATCTGCAAGGGTTTTGAGGGGTTTCAGTCATTTTATAGGAAGAATGTTGGAAGCTTTCCTTTGTAATCCCTGTGATCAGAATTTTGCTGTTTTTAAATATCTGGCAGTCAGTGGGAAGCAGCTATGAAATCTGAATCCAGATTAAACAGCAGAACACTAGAAAAATATCATATCACAGGAAAGCTTTCAGCATGTTATGGAACTGAGACTTACTCCCTGAAATTAGAGAGGAGGAATGTCTGAAATAAATATAACTTCCCTAGGCTCTAACGGGAGGTGAACCTTGTGTCCCAGACTCTACCAAATTTAATTAGCAGTATACTGTACTGGGAGAACTATGATTTGCTGATAGCATGAACAGTTTGTTACAAATCTAGGCCTGAGTTACTTGGTTGACTACCTCTGCCCATATAATCCTCCAAGGCAATTGAGGTCCAACAGGTTCTTTGCTCTCTCTCAAAGAGAAATGATAAAGAGAGGCAAAACAATTTTTTGAAACAAAGTTGAAATGTTGAACTTGTTTCCATTTTGCAGAGTTTGTAAAGGAATATTTTTTATTTCTTTTTTAAAAACATTCTGAGAATTTTTTTTGATAATTTTTGAAAATTTGAACTTTTTTCCACATTTGCCTTTTTTGCAACTGCAAATTTTTTTTTTGATGTCCATTGTTTCCTTCACTTTTTCATTTTTTCTTTTCTTCTTTTACTACTCTGTAATTTTTCATAACTTCTTCAACTTTGGGAAGTTATTGACTAGCAAAAGGAGGAAGGAAAAGAAGAAAAGCGCCTACACATCATTCATTCTCTTTCATTCTATGGCAGAATGGCATCAAGGAAAAATGAGAAGAAAATGATTGATTTTTCATTAAAAACTGGAAATATTGGATGTACTTTTCACTGAAGTTTTTGATTTTGCAAAAAGGCCATTTATCTTTTTTTAAAATTATTTTTCAGATGAAAAATATCAACCAGCTCATGTCCTAAAGTTCTATCTGATCAGACTGAGCGTGTAGTTTTTTAATACCAGGGTCCATGCCTGTGGAAACTGCTAACTTCCCCAAACGCGGTAGTGAGAGTATTTCTCTGGCACCAACTCTGTGCATCAGCCAGACACAGATGAGAGCATATGCCACTACAGTTTATACACTCCAGGAACCAAAGAAACTCCTCCTGAGAGCAACTCCTCTTCCCTGTTCCCCTGTCCTCCAGCACAGATTGTGGCTTAGAGCCACAATCTAGGCCTTAGCTTAGCTGTAAATGGAAACACATTACAGAGAGAGTGGTATGAATACGAAATTTAGTAACAGTGAGTGCAGTGTGCAGCATGTTCTTAATTGAAAAAGCAAATTCATAAAGAAACCTAATGACTAAAGCACCCTGCTGATTGCTAAATTACCTACTTTCTACTAGAACTAGAAGAATGAAGATGGCTCTGTATGCAATTTTATTGTAAATTAGCATTTCAGATGCAAACCTTCTCATTTAAATATATTGCTGAATGACTTTAAATTTGGCAGACATGTAAGCTTTTAATTTCCTTTATTACAAATGCCATATTTTGCTGCATGTCAGCCAACAGCATTAATCAGAATCACACTTATTTTATTTAAACCATGGGTAGGAGTTAAAGCTATTACAAAACTCTAGTGCAAGATCAATTAAAACAAATAGCTATCTGAATGTACTGTGCGCTCGCTCGCTCGCTCTCTCTCTCTCTCTCTCTCAGCCAACCTCCTGGTTAGATGAAGAAAAACGTAAGTTTTGTAAATACGGGATGAGATGCAGGAGTCTGCAGAAAATCTGTTAACACAGTTAAAAAACTTTAAAGTAATCACCAAAAGTTACCATTAAAATTGAGATTTAAAACACTGGGAGGTAGGAATGTGGGGCTAGTTAACAACAGATGCTAGACTTAGACAGCAGATTCAAGTGGATAATTAGATATAGAAGGAGCTGGAGCAGACTAAGCATTCAGTCCAATGGCATAAGATCTGCATTGTCAGCAATCATGTAAGCCAGTTGCAGTATCGATGGACTCTTAGCATAATAGGCTTCTAACTTATACCACATTAGCCAAGATGTTCAAGCTGTTGCTATTACAGTTTTACCCTTTTGTTCACTCCTCCCTGCCACATACACCACATACGCATACACAGCTGCATGTTGTCAGCAAATTATCCAGTTTCAGAGTTGTGCAGGCTTTTAGCCATGTGACTCATTTGGACTTTTACGATGAGTCATGCAGCTTTGAACTCTGCACATGTGCGTGTTTCATATGTTACATGCTGGGTAACAACAGGAGAGGACTCCATGTTTCTACAATTAAACAGCTCTTTGTTAAGAGAACTATTTACAGAGGTGCAGCTAGCATTCTAGCCATTTGCACACAGACTGGCTTTCTGGTGCCTCCTGCATCCTGTACTCCTCCCTCTAAGTTCCATGCAGGTTGCTGCACTGTTGGCCTATAGTTTGGTTCTAAAATAGACACAAGCATATTTGGTGGTCGAAGGAAGGAATTAAGCTGCAACTCTAACATCTTGTGCCCTACTCTCTCGCATCTTTCCTGTAAGGATTTACTTCTCTTTACTCTGAGGATGTAAATCCTCTTGGTGTTTGGTCTACTCTACACTGACCTTGTAGAGGATTGTGCCTTCAAGAAACCTGATACATCAGGAAGAACAGCTGGTATTGGGTAAGGGTGGGAGATGTGCAATATGATCTCTGGAAAGCTGCAACAAGAGACTGCTTGCTGAAACATAAACATTGTCTAATAGTTGTCTGTGTGTCTGATAACGAACTGGGGACTCTACTCTTCAGGTTGTATACTGTTCTTCCCTACATTCCCAAGCACAGCAGCTGTTAACATAAATGAGAGTCAGTATAGTTTTACCCTAGTTTTACTTCAGAAACAAAGGTCTACCCCAGCTGTCACATAGGTCCATGGCAAAACTTCCATTGTTTTCAATTGAAATAGGATCAGACCCTAAATTTGGGGAGGAGAGTTAGTAAGAAAGGAACAGCATATCAGGATATGTCTGTGGAAAGAAGGGGAAACAATTTAGCTGCATTCCTGTTTGAATTATGTGTTTTGTTTGTGGTCAGTTCATTTTGGGGTATAAATGTACTTACCTCTAACCTAAGCAGGATCTTTCCCTTTCAGATCAGAGTTTATTTTCACACTCCATTATTTCTTTTTTTGCCCACCCATCAGTCTCCACATTAACTGGGCCTATTCCAAAGCAACTATTCCAAAGTTGCTAGTGATTTGGGGTGCTTCACTTTATGATGCCCAACTTAAGATAACTGAAAATGGCCTGATTTTCACAGGTCTGGTGCTCAGCGTAGCTCCCGAGAAGAATTAGAATAAATTGGTTACAGGCAAGGACGGAAAAGTTTGACATGGATCTTCTTTGGAACAGAGTAGCAGAAATGAGAAAGAACTGTGTGGGCTTTGAGTAGGGTTACCATTCGTCCGGATTTACCCGGACATGTTCTCCTTTTTGTGCTAAAAATAGCGTCCGGGGGGAATTTGTAAATCACTCAAAATGTCCGGGATTTCCCCCCTCCCGCGGCAGAGCAGAGCGAGCGGCTGGGAGGGCTGCAGGAAAGTCACGGGCTGGACTCCGGAGCAGCTGTAGAGGAGCTCCTCCCCCCCTCCCTCCCTGCATTCTGAGCCGGCAGCTCCTCCTCCCCGGCAGCCCCGCGCCCCGCTCCAGCAGCACTGTGTAGGGCCAGGGACCGGGTTGTGTGTTGTGCTGGGGAGCGCAGCCACGTGTCCGGCTCGCACAGAGCCCAACACCCTGTTCTGAGCAGCAGGGTAAGGGGGGCAGGAGAAGGGGCAGGGAGGTTCTGGAGGGGGCAGTCAAGAAACGGGGGGGTCGGGAGTTCAGGGGGGGGGCTTCTTGGGGGGAGTGGAGAAAGTTTTGGGCAGTCAGGGTACAGGTAGGGGGTAGGGTCCTGGGGGGCAGTTGGGGGGGGGTCTTAGGAAGGGGCAGTTAGGGGATAAGGAACAGGGAGGCTTAGGTAGGGGGTGGGGTTCTGGAGGGCAGTTAGGAGCAGGGGTCCCAGGAGGGGGCAGTCAGGGGACAAGGAGCGGGGGGGGGTGGGAGTTCTGGGGGGGGCTGTCAGGGAGCAGGAGTGGGGAGAGGGATCGGAGCAGTCAGGGGACAGGGAGCAGAGGGGTTTAGATGGGTTGGGAGTTCTGGGGGGGCTGTCAGGGGGTGGGGAGTGGTTGGATGGGGCATGGGAGTCCCAGGGGTCTGTCTGGGGGTGGGGGTGTGGATAAGGGTTGGGGCAGTCAGGGGACAAGAGGCAGGGAGGCTTAGATAGGGGGTGGAGTCCTGGGGGGCAGTTAGGGGCAGGGGTCCCAGGAGGGGGCAGTCAGGGAACAAGGAGCAGGGGGAAGGTTGGGGTTCTGAGGGGGGCGGGGAGTGGAAGGGGCGGGGCTAGGGCAGGACGGGGGCGGGGCTATGGCAGAACGGGGGCGGGGCTCCTCCCGTCCTCTTTTTTCCGTGCTGAAATATGGTAACCCTAGCTTTGAGGGAGTTTGTACAAACTCTTCTTTGACCTCAGAACTAGAGCTGTGTGACTCACTGAGCTGCTGGAATTGGTGAAAATTCTCTCTGTTCCAGAATAATGGAAGTGACACACTTAGCATTTTGGTCTGAATTTTTCACCATCCTGAGAGACAGGTTACACAAGCAAAGGAAACTTTCTCTCTAAGTGCAAAACTTAGCTAAAGAGACTGAGCAGTTAAAAAAGGAGAGAAATAATAATACTTAACATCTATCCAGTACTTGTCATCCCTAAAGCATTAATTCACGAAGCCTCACAACACTCCAGTGAGGTAGGTATTATTTTTATATCCTTATTTACCTGATGATAATCCTAAAGTAGGGAGGGTAAATTACTTGCCCAAAAGCAAAAAGAAAAGGAATCTGACTCAGAGGCTGGATTAGTGCACACAAGTTCCTTCTCCCACTCCTGTGTTCAGGTTGCTAAATTGCATTTTTTAAATCAACTACAGGCTGAAGCTAAAGACAGTTCTCCCCATAAACATTTAATGGAGCAAAACCACAACATTTTCTCAGACTCTCTTGCAATGCTGTGCTGTGGTTTGTGTTTGCAGGCAGCTGCAGTCGTCGTATTGCTGTAAGCAGCAAAGCATTCAGATTTCACTTATAGAATCATAGAATATTAGGGTTAGAAGGGACCTCAGAAGGTCATCTAGTCCAACCCCCTGCTCAAAGCAGGACCAATCCCCATGTTTATTTGTGTTTATGTACATTGGATAAACTATTAATTTGGACCATTTTCCTTATCCTGTTGCTCTCTTGTGTTTAAGTTTTCTGTACCAGATCCTGTTGTTGTAGCTAAGTCATGTGTATGTTGAATGTTTTCTTTTTATCTGCACTACTTATTATTGGTTTGGTTTTTGTTTTTGTTTTATTGCCATTTCAGGGTTGCGATACCCAATCTTCCACTGTGTAAACAGAATATCTCATGAGGAGGTGTCTGAGAGCTATTGTGACACCAGCACCAAGCCCACGCCAGAAGAAGAAGCCTGCAACATCTTCCCATGCCCAGCCTTGTAAGATAGTGCCAGAAAATACACTGGAAAATGAAGGCAGCAGTGTCACTGAAGCTTTGCACAAAGGAGGGTAGCTGTTTTAAATAGGACTCTAGGGTGAACATCTCAAGTATTTTCCACTTGTGACATGGAGTGCAGCTGATGGGTTCCCCTGTCAGAGGTGGTTTTTATTCCTTTGTAAGGAAGTGGCAGCCATAGCAGTTTATCCTCCATTCCAGCACTGTTATCCCATGTGAGATAAGGGAGTTAGGAGAGATTGGCAGTCATTTACTCTGGGTTAAATGCAGCCAATCCTCAACAGGTATGATGGTTAAGGGTGCACTGCCCCTGCAATCTCTCCCCTAGTCTCTCCCTTGGTGCTCTTTCCAAGAGAGAAGCCTCTACCTGCACTTCTCCTAGAGCAGAACTCCGCGGTTCACACCACTTTAGACTGAATCACCAGGTTACGTTCCCACTGTTCAGGGTAAGTGGTGCCTTATACGTTATACCTCTTTGCAGTCCCTCACGAGTGCACCCCTGGCGACAGGTTCTGCTGCCTTCACCTCTCTGGGTGCAACCCTACCCTCTTCTACCACTCAGTCCCTCATCTTCTGACCATGTTAATATGACAGGCCCAAATGTACCGGGCACCTGCAAGGCACTTCTCTCTGGGAGCCTGTGATCAGCAGCTGATTAAGGTAACTCAGAACAGCTCCTTCCAAACAGCACACTATATATTCACCCAAGGGTATATAGCAAGCAGATAAAAGGGTTAACACTACAGAGGGTCTTGCCTAAGCTTTGAGACAAGGGATAAGCTTTAGGCGAGCCTATACTGCCTCAGACACACTCTGCAGGGCCTCTGCCTCTGACTGACTGCTCCTGCTGCAATCTCTGCCTCTCTCTGTCAGCTTCTCTACACACACACTTCCTCTCCAGGCAGGGAGTTTTAAGGTTTACTGTCATTTTTGATCTTAGGGCCCCTGGCCTGGGAAAAATAGGCCTGTGACCTGGCTGGAGCCAGGTGGGCAATTCCAAGTAATAGCCCATCCAATGTTCTCAAACGACTCTTGGAATACTTTCCCCAGAGATAGCTGATCTCTAGCCACAGCTTTGTTTCCTGCTTGTTCTTCTTAATAACCTTTAATTCAAGCTTTACGTTTTAATTCAACTCTGTCTAATCAGACAGAATACTGTCAATCAGGTAAACTGGGATGCATACAGTGCTGATGATAAATGATACAGCTATTGCCCTCATTCTCCACAACAAGTCTGAAGTTAACAGTGTGAAGGGCGTTTATACTAGCAATGCACTCACCTCCCTGAGCATGACACCAAAAATGACATGAAAATGAAAATATGTATATTAATAAAACAAATACATATATACAGTCTTAATAGAAATCTTAATGGAAAGGAATCTTATTGTCACTGAAATAAAATGCATCTATTCATTGTTTGTCACACATCATTTTATTTGTATATGTAAGTTAATGCCCATTTAGGTGATCCATCTACCATTCCTCCTCCAAACAACTGTCTTATTACTGCTCTCCCTGTGTCATGTCCAGAAAAAGTCTGTAAGCTCCTCAGGGCAGGCATTTTGCTTTTACATGTTTTGGGAAGTGTTGTTAAAGTAATCAGAAATAATATATATTGCTAGACAATTTCTAAAAATACACTCAGATCACTATGTACCCAGTTCTGCAACTCCTACACATTTAATAGCATAACACCTCATCCTTTGTAGACCCTTTGGAAGTATGCCGTGGTCCCCTATATAAAGGATAAATATTATTTATTTCAGTATTCAGCAAAAGACATGCAGATGTTTAAATGATATTATAAGACTTTTTTTTGTCCAAACACTTATAATCAGAATTGAAATGAGCTTAGTGTCTACAATATGGCACTGTCTTTATTAACAGTGGATCATTATTATGTTCTCCTTTTTCTTTTCTCTGTTAGCTGGGATATAGGGGAGTGGTCTGAGTGCAGTAAAACATGTGGCCTTGGTATGCAGCACCGTCAAGTCCTGTGCCGACAAGTGTATGCCAATCGTACTCTGATGGTTCAGCAATACCGATGCCATCACTTGGAGAAGCCAGAAACAACCAGCACATGCCAGCTGAAGATTTGCAGTGAATGGCAAATTCAGACAGAGTGGACTTCGGTAAATGGGAATGATTGGTTCATTTGGAGCATGAAACCTCAGGGGAGCTACAATAGAGTGGAACATTCCTCCAGAGATCTTTAATCAGATGTGATTGGATTACATTTGGCTTTGATTAAAAACCACAGAGGGGAATGTGGGAAAGCTTTCAAAATAGGTAGTAGGTGAGCTTAGACAATTTAAACAAGCCAGGTAGTTATAACCAATTAAAACTTGTTGTTTAAACCAGAGAGAATAGAGAAAAGGGACAGGGTAGACATATACTTAGTTAATTAAAATATCATTCGGAGTGCTTTGCAAGGTCAATGTATTTGTGTTTTTAGGGAGGGAAGATTTGATAAAGGCTTGTTTTATAGTTAAGGGGCATATGTTATTATCCAGGGTTTGATTCCATGTAGGGTTAATTATTGTCTGTGTTGGTGGTAAGAAGCAGTACCTGGTTAAGGTTTTTTTGTTTTTATTTTTATTCAGTTGTATTTTGAATAATATTTAAATGCAAGGGCATCTAGAGGCTTGGATGGGTGTTTGTTTTTTTTAAATACGTCCTATGAAGCAAAGTAAAGAAATATTATAAATCAAATACTGCTTTAGTAATTTTAGCTGGTGATATGAAATGGCAATCAAAATAAAATCCAGTGATTGATTTATTCCCCTGCCCCTCCCCCCTCCCCCAAAAAGAATCCTTTGGCATCAGGAGGAAAGGACCTACTGTAATGAGAGAGGCATTTAAGTTTGGAAACTCTGTGGTTTAAATAGAACATTTATTATGTTAGGTTACTGGAGTACAAGTAAGGTTTCACTTTGGAGACAGCTCCCTGATTTTAAAAATGCATCTTAAGCAATTTGATGCAGTGCCATTTTTCCCAAGACAGAAACATAAATGACAGATGCTTTGATCTGATTCTGGTTAGAAAAGATGGCACTCCAGATTTAAGGACGTTTCCGGACAGTGTCACCTAGTGGAAAGAGTACTGGACTGGCACTCAGAAGACCTTGGTTCTATTCCTGGGTCTGTTCCTAGACTGCTGGGTGACCTTGGGCAAGCCATTTCATCTCTCTGTGCCTCAGTAAGATGAGGATCATGATACTGATCTCCTTTGTAAAGTACTTTGATTTCCACGGATGAAAAGAGCTATCTAAGAGCTGGGTGTTATCATCATCATCATCATTATTGGTGTTACTCCAATACATTAGTGATTTGTTTCACAAGCCTAACCTGAATTTCTGCAAGTATCTTGGGCTCAGGGATTGGAGAAATAGATGCAATCCTACATGAGTGATGCTCTTACTGCTAGATGCTTTCATGGTTTTCGCATTTGCTTAGATAGGAAAGTGAGAAGTGTGTCCTGATGGGGAAAATGAAGGTTCCAGTTGCTGGCACTAATCATTTGCAGCCATGTAGATAATCATTAAAAAAAAAATTTAAAAACGTATGTTAAGAGAATGTTAAGGCTACAAAGTCAAGCACTCAGAAGTTAGGAAATGCCAAATATAAGACTGCTTGTGCAACCTTAATTTGTACCCCTTGTGTGTATGTGTTATCATGCAGCCTTTAATCATGCAGCCTTTAATTACATGGTCACATAGTGTTTGATGATAGAGTGATAGGAGCACTGGCAGGGGAGGGGTCCTATCCAGGTGTTCAGTTTTGGGTCACAACAGGCAGTGGAATTCCTTAGGCAGGACTCCTTATCTGCCTCTCTTTGCCCTCCTTCCTGATGATCTGAGCTGCATACCTCGCCAGGCAGAGATGCTGCTGGCTGCTCTATGGAGCAGCACTCCATACAGAGAGGCCAGAGAAGAGCAGGGAAGGGGAGTCTTCCCCCCACTTTCAGTTGAGGATCAGGAGCAGCTGTGCTCCCTTGAGTTACTCTTTGCTTTATCTCCTGCCCAGGAGTGCAACTCAAAAGCATGCAGAGTATGTGGAAACCTTGAAACAACCTTTCTGGAGCTTAGAGGGCTAAGTTTCTGTGCATTGTAACAAAGCTCCCCAATGCAGCAGAACCACGTCAGTCCCAATGTGGTTAGGTTCTTTATGGTCATCATGGCGGTGTTTGGCCCTATATTTTTAATGTTTGTCTTTCTAAATTCACCTATATGATTCATTGGAATGAGACCCACATCTATAGAACTATTGAAATATGTCCCCATGAACAACCAGTATTTCTTCAGCTCATGTAGATTTTTGCACCCGTGGCATTGGAGGTAAATGGATAGATGATCTCCAGCTGAACCTGGACTATAGTTGCTAGGTCTTGAATGTAGTGCTGATGCAAAGTTTGTTTTATTACAGTGTTCGGTGCCATGTGGAGTGGGGCAGAGGACCCGAGATGTTAAGTGTGTCAGCAATCTTGGAGACATTGTTGATGACGAGGAGTGTAATATGAAGCTACGGCCAAATGACATTGAAAACTGTGACATGGGGCCCTGTGCTAAGAGCTGGTTCCTCACGGAGTGGAGTGACAGGGTAAGACTTTCCACGGTTTTTTGTAACTGTCCCATTCACCCTTCTGAGACATAAGAATTGAGTAGTTTGGCCTAAGTGCAAAAGAATATAAAATATCAATCATAAAAGGGGCAATTTTGATACTCACGATTTTACTGAATTGCTTTAATCTATAACATAGGCAGGCGCAGATAAAGAAAAGATAAACTGGTTCATGAGCTTGTTTTAGGTTCAAGAAGTGATAAAAAGGACAAGAGTGTGGGCTGAAGTACCAAAGTCTGGATTTGGAATCTGATCTGAATCTAGACTTCCCTAAAGATTGGGTGTGTTCAGATTTATTGTTTTGCTTTGGTTAGACCTGAGTCCCTAAGTTTGGATCCAGATACTGCCCAAGTGTTCTTTTGGGTAGGAGGTTTCAGATTTGGTGTTCCGGTTTGAGCCCATTCAAGAAAAAGATTACCTGACCCCTACAAAGCCATAGAAATGACCCCTTTGGGCTCCAGAAAGGTTCTTTCAAAGTTTCCACATCCTAGGTAAGCTGGATATATGTTTTGTTCCAATGATGCATAGGCAGGGTCAAACTGTTGTCAATAGAGAGATGCTGATTTACACCATCTGATGATCTAGCCCAGGGAATTTGTTTAATAGTTGTAATATACATATTATTTTATTAAGACTTACGGGATAGGCATAGCTAGCACCTACAAAATATTTTAGTCCCTCTTATGGGTCGCATAGCAGATCTTATCCATACACAAGTCAAACTCAGTGTTCATTGCATAGGCCTCGTCCTTCCATCCCTTACTCTGTTGGCCAGTCCTTACCCACAGGCAGATAGTCACATTCAGAGGAAATACCTGTAAGATTTTATATATACTCCTCAGCGATATTCAATCCAGTGTGACACTTTGGGAAACAACAGTTCTGGTTCAGAGGTCATGTCATGTGCTGACCAGCCTGCTTTGCCCGAGGCAACATGGGAACATACTGAGTGAACTTAGCGGAGCCACCAGGGTCTTGTCATTTCTCTCTGTGATGATGTGTTCTGGCAGTGCAGTAACATGAACGCAAACATTGCGGTGTCTAGTCTGTCATGCTATAAATTTTAATTCCACGATGGGATCATTTTATGATTCTCTATGACTCAGTTTGATGACATAGAGGCTTTCCAGCTCTTCAAAATTCAGTACTCCTTAAATTTTAGAAATTTTCTAGCAGTGTTTCCCAAACTTGGGACGCCGCTTGTGTAGGGAAAGCCCTTGGCGGGCCGGGCCAGTTTGAGTACCTGCCGCGTCCGCAGGTTCGGCCGATCGCGGCTCCCACTGGCCGCGGTTCGCTGCTCCAGGTCAATGGGAGCTGCAGGAAGCGGCGCAGGCCAAGGGACGTACTGGCTGCCGCTTCCAGCAGCTCCCATTGTCCTGGAGCAGTGAACCGTGGCCAGTGGGAGCCGCGATCGGCCAAACCTGCGGACCCTGCAGGTAAACAAACCGGCCCGGCCCGCCAGGGGCTTTCCCTACACAAGCGGCGTCCCAAGTTTGGGAAACACTGTTCTAGCAGAGAGTAGGAAGAGGTGCTCAATTAAAACTGACTCCTGAGTCACCTCTTCAAAGCGTAATTGGAAAAAATTATCAGAATCCTACTCAGTTCTGAATGACAAAACTCCAGACTGAGCCTTCCTTTTCAAATAGATTTGTTGAGAGAGAATCTTAGTGCTGCAATGGAATATTATAGAAGTCATTGTTTGAAAGCAATATTATTTACCAGCCCCTCCACAGACTAATTAACTGCCACGTAATAAGAGGGACCCAATGCAATTAACTTTTGAGGCATTTTTTGTGGGCGGGAGCATGTCTCATTGAAGCTTAGAACATTTAAACTTTTAGAGGAAGTTGCTAGTCACTCAGGATAATGTTAATGTACAGTCTTACGTGGACTAACCCAGAAGTTAACAGCTAAAGTATCCTATTGCTGTACTGTAAACCACAAAGTGCCTTTCTATGTTTGTTTTTCTAGTGTGTAGAGCTGGATTCCTTGTAAAATGTTATTCGAGTGATATTTTATGTGTGGGAAAGAAAAAAAGCATTTTATCCTCAAAGATAGAAGAACTTAACTAGCCCTTTGAGAACATGCTGGGCCAGATCCTCATCTGGTTTAACTTGCTATAGCTGCAATGAAGCGCATCTTTACCAGTTGGGGATCCATCTCTCTCTTTTTTCTTCTCCAAGCCTGACACTTTCATTTCTGCAGGATTAAATATGTGACTTTTTTTAATAGCTGAGAATGTTTATTTTAAAAAATTAAAATAAATAAAAACATGCTGGGAGGAAGCTTTTGAATCTAGAATTGTGTTTTTAAATGTTACTGTATTTACTAATGTATGTTAAGTGAGAGCCTAGAAATGAAATATCTTATATTGAAAACTTTTTTTTTCTACTGTGACTGTTTTAAAGTTGGATAATAAATAATGGGCTTGTTACCTTTTCTGCGTATGGAAGTAAGTGAACTAATTAATGATTTCCAAATGTTTGCTACTGTGTCTGGCATAATTTAGCAGCAACTCTGCCAGCAATGCATTTAGTTAGATTTGTGAAAAGAATAAAAGGAACAGGATTCTTCTCTACATGAATCAGAAAAATATACAGGCCAAAATTTTCAAATTGGACCCTTGCATTAGATGCCTGCATAAGATATTCAGAGGTGCTGAACAGTAGCAATACCTGTTGAAATCAGTGAGAGCTCTCGGTGCTCTGCCAATCTGTCCCTTTGGCCCAAAATTTTATTTTTGCATGTCAAATACTACTTTAGTGATTCAGCAACCTCTCTCCCTTTTGATTGGGCGTATTTCTGTTTAAGGGCATTTAGATGGACAGTTTTAAATGATATGGAAATGAGCACTCCCAGATTTGCAGGCTTTGTATCGTTCACTCGAATTTCCTAAAGCAACTCTTTAAAAAAAAAATTTTAAGCCAAGCCACAATTCAGCAATAAGTGTAGATCAGTGATGGGTGACCCACAAATAGTTCAGATAAGCAGCCAAAAGTTCAGATGCTAAAATAAAGCTTTTTCAAACCTCCTGAGTCTGCAAAAGTGTGGTAGAAATCTCACAAGAACAGACCTTCTTTATGAGATTTATTACATGTCTACTTCCACTCCCAGCTGGAAATACCACAGAACAGTCTTTCTCATTGTATTGTGGCACTTGTGGCTGGAAACCACAAGTGAAAGAACTTATAAGCTTTCACAACTTTGGAACCTTAAAATGTTCAGTTCAAATGTGTTTACAGCAATAAGTGAAGATTTGGTCCTTATTTTTACTTAGTGTATATGGATGTAGATTCACTATATGGCTAGACAAGGGGGCCAAGGTAATCTTTTATTGGAGCAACTTCTGATCACTTGCCTCTCTGCTGGGCATTGACATCTCTGCATTCAATTCCTGTATGCATTGGTGCTCAATACAGCTCAGTCATTATTGTCTGCTACAGTGGGAGGGGTCCAATACCTAAGCAGAAATTACATTTACAAGGAGCTAGAGGCCTGGGAGAGAGAGAAACCAAAGTCTTTGGAGACAGGGACTTGACTGTCCAGCTAGGGCTGGAGCAGGAGGCAGATTGCAAAGAGGGAAGGAGCCTGGATAACTAAGGAAATATTGCCTAGACAAACCTACTATAATGCAGGTGCATAACTGGTTGGAAAACCGTACTTGGAGAATTGTTATCAATGGTGCACAATCAAGCTGGAAGGCCATATCGAGTGGGGATCTGTCGTGGGGTCCGGTTCTGTTCGATAGCTTCATAAATGATTTTTATTTATAATTATTTATAAATGGCATAGAGCATACATTTATAAATTTTGTGGTTTATATCAAGTTGGGAGGAGTTGCAAGCTCTTTGGAGGACAGGGTTAGAATTCAAAATGATTTGACAGGCAGTAGAAATGAACTGAAGTAAATACGATGGAATTCAATAAGGACAAATTCAAAGTACTACACTTAGGAAGGAATAATTAACTGCACAAAAACAAAATGGGAAATGACTGCCTAGGAAGGAGAACTGCAAAAAAAGATCTGGGGATTATAGGGGTTCACAAACTAAATAGGAGTCAACAATGTAACACTGTTGCTAAAAAAGCAACCATCATTCTAGATGGATTAGCAGGAGTGTTGTAAGCAAGATATGAGAAGTGACACTACTCAGCACTGATAAGGCCTCAAATGGAGTATTGTGTCCAATTCTGGGTACCACATCTGGAGAAAGATGTGGACAAATTGGAGAAAGTCCAGAGGAGAGCAACAAAAATGATTAAAGGTCTAGAAAACATGGCCTATGAGGAAAAATGGAGAGTCTGAAGAAGAGAAGACTGTGGGGGAACATGAGTCTTCAAGTACGTAAAAGGTTGTTATAAAGAGGAGAATGATACATTTTTCTCCATAACCACTAAGGACAGGATAAGAAATAACAAGCTTAAATTGCAGCAAGGGAGATTTATGTTAGGAAAAATTTCCTCAATGTAAGGATAGTTAAGCACTGGATTGAGGAATCTCTGTCATTCAAGGTTTTTAGGAACCAGTGAGACAAACACTGTCATGGATGGTCCAGATAACACTTAGTCCTGCTTCAGTGCAGGGGACTGAACTAAATGACCTGTTGAGGTCCCTTCCAGTCCTACATTTCTATGTTTCTATGATTTGTTGAAGTAACAGGAAATGTTGTGTGTAGGGTGTGACAGACCCAGACCAGTGGGGTACAGGAGTCTGGTAGAGGGCAAATATACTGGTCACTGGATGAGTAGTTTTCTGTTCCCTGAGTGACCAGAGAAGGGGCTGCACTAGAGTAATCAGGAACCTGCTAGAACCAGTTAAGGCAGGCTAATTAGGACACCTGGAGCCAATTAAGAAGAAGCTGCTAGAATCAATTAAGGCAGGCTAATCAGGGCACCTGGGTTTTAAAAGGAGCTCACTTCAGTTTATGGTGCGAGTGTGAGGAGCTAGGAGCAAGAGGCGCAAGGAGCTGAGAAGGTGT